ACAGCAGCAACAACACCAGCACCAGCACCAGTACCAGCACCAGCACCAGCACCAACACCAGCACCAGCACCAGCACCAGCACCAGCAGCAGCACCAGTACCAGCACCAACCCAGCACCAGCACCAGCACCAGCACCAGCACCAGCACCAGCACCAACAGCAGCAGCAGCAGCTGCAGCAGCAGCAGAAGCACCAGCACCAGCACCAGCACTAGCAGCAGCAGCAGCAGCAGCAGCAGCAGCAGCAGCAGCAGCAGCAGCAGCAGCAGCAGCAGCAGCAGCAGCAGCAGCAGCAGGCAGCAGGCAGCAGGCAGCAGGCAGCAGGCAGCATGCAGCAGGCAGCAGGCAGCAGGCAGCAGGCAGCAGGCAGCAGGCAGCGGGCAGCGGGCAGCGGGCAGCAGGCAGCAGGCAGCAGGCAGCAGGCAGCAGGCAGCAGGCAGCAGCAGCAGCAGCAGCAGCAGCAGCAACAGCAGCAGCAGCAGCAGCAGCAGCAGCAGCACCACCAGCAGCGGGCAACAGCAGCAGCAGCAGCAGCAGCAGCAGCAGCAACAGCAGCAGCAGCAGGCAGCAGGCAACAGGCAACAGCAGCAGCAGCAACAGCAGGCAGCAGGCAGCAGGCAGCAAGTGCAGCAGGCATCAGGCAGCAGCAGCAGCAGCAGCAGCAGCAGCAGCAGCAGCAGCAGCAGCAGCAGGCAGCAGGCAGCAGGCAGCAGGCAGCAGGCAGCAGGCAGCAGGCAGCAGGCAGCAGGCAGCAGCAGCAGCAGCAGCAGCAGGAGGAGCCGCGGGAGGGGGAGGAGGTGAACGAGGACCACAAAGCCTGAGGCAAAACATCCGTGATCTCTGGCCGCTCACTGCGCGGCTGCGTCCTTGGCCCGAAAACGCTCGGCCAGGGTACGCAATCCATCGTCGTCGACTGAGCGTTCCGAGCCTGTCGAGGTGGAGCCAGGAGGCTTGTGTAGCACCGACTTGGGCGGCGCCCTAGGCGGTGCACGAGTAACGTCACCCTCGGGGATCGTCCAAGGGGGACGAGGAAGAGCAGGGGAGGGGGATAAGAAGGGGGGAAAAGGGTGAAGAGAAACACTAGGACGACCACGACGACGACGACGACGACGACGACGACGACGACGACGACGACGACGACGACGACGACGACGACGACAATGACGGCGAGGAGGACGACGACGACGACGGCGGCGGCGGCGACGACGACGACGACGACGACGACGGCGACGACGACGACGGCGACGGCGAGGACGACCCCTCCCGCTCGCGCGCCCCCTCCCCGCGGCTGCCGCCTGGCGCGCCGCCCCCGCCCTTCTCCGCCCCACCCCCGCCCCTCTACGCGAGGAGCGCGCCGGGAGTGCCGCCGCCACCACGGTCGCGCGCCCCCCGCCGCGCCCGGCCGGCCCTCTCGGCGCGCCCTCCAGCTTCTCAGTATCGTTGGCACTATCCCCATGACCAACCCCGGACCCCCTCGAGCCTTGAACAAATCACGTCGAGAGGTCCCTCGAGTCTGGAACAAACCACGACGAGAGGTTTTTCGCTTTTCTTGGTTTCTGGAGGCCCTTATCGGCCTTCTGGGTCGAGACCCCTGGGGGTCGACGTTATGACAGATCATGACGTCGGGGGTCTGGGACGGGCCATGGCGTCTCCGCCCCTCCATCCCGCCGCCCCAGTTGGGGACAGGCGCCTCGAAACCCGAGAGGAACAGCCTGTGTACCCATCCAGCGGGGTTAAGTTGGCGAGTGGGGCCCAGGCCACGCCCGTGGGAGTCGGGATCGGTGGAGCGATGCTCAGCTTCCCTCCTCCTGGATCGGACGGATGGGGTCAGAGGCAATCTTTAGGACCCAGAACTCCGACGTTTCTTTTTTATTTCTCCCCTCTCTCTATATATTTATATTCAATACGTATATATAAATGTATATGCACACACGCACATACATACATACATATATACATATGTATATATATTATATATATATATATATATATATTTATATTTATATATATATATAGGCAACAACGTCGAGGTCCCGAGGTCTGGGCCACTTCCCCTGGACCAGCTTTTAAAAAACGCCCCTGCCCTGGTTTACGAGGCGCTGTGCGCTGAAACTCCTGTGGGCTGACAGGGTAAACCCTGCGTGATGTGCCGCGTCCTGGCGGCTCTAGGCTTTGGGTGTTCCCAGGAGGTTTACAGGCCACGCACTTGTAACCCAGGGTAGGGTCGTTTTTTTATCCCTCAAACTCTGGGCGCCAGGGGCAGCAGGGCATGGATAAAGGCGTGGCCTCGGAGGCCTGGAGATGGTATCCTCGCTCTGGCTCCGCGTGGCGTCGGGGCGCGAGCAGGGGTGTGGATAAAATGGCGATCGCCTCCAGCCCACTTCCGTGCGCCCCGATCATTCTGCCAGACCGAGGGTCTAAGTTTTTTGTCCCCCAATGAGGCTTGCCGAGGGAGTTTTCACTTGGTAAAAGGTTGGTGCCTCGGGGGCTTACTTTGCCCCCCTGGGAGGTTCCCCGCCCCCAGTGTCTCGGGGGGCTGCTTTGCCCGTTCCTCCGAGGTTCCCCAGGTTCCCCAGGTTCCCCAGGTGCCTCATGCCAAGCAATACCTAGCAATGCCAAGCAATGCCAAGCAAAGCTAAACAAGGCCAAGCAAGGCCAAGCAAGGCCAAGCGTTGCCAAGCGTTGCCAAGCGGTGCCAAGCACTGCGCCCATGCAATAGGAAGCTTTCCCCTACTTGGGGTCGCGTCGTGTTCATGTTTTTGATGGCCCATCTTTGTGGGCATATGGACTCCTCTAGAGGCCTCCTTGACTCTCTGTCTCTCTGTCTCTCTCGCTCTCTCTCTATTGATCTCTCCGTTCCTTATCCTGGTTCTCTTCCGCTTCTGTAATTGCTCTTTCCGCTTGCGCCTACTCTTCCACTGAAATCGTCATGCACATACCCACACTCATGCATTCCTCTTCCTTTTTTCTTCATCCTGATCATTGTGCTTCTTCATTTTCATATCCATCGTCCTCTTTTTTCGTCTTATGAGTATTCGGATCATGCGTCTGATTCTTCTTCTTCATCTTCTTCCTCATGGCGGTGCGTGCACAGTAATGACTTAGCGGTTTTTTTCAGGGTGTCGGTCTCATCGATCCTCATTGACGTTGCTCCGAAGTCCTCCTGGCTCGAGGATTTCGGGGACCGAAAGCAGTCGGTGATCGGCGTTCTTCTGGCCACTTTGACTATCATTCTGCGCGACGCCGCCGAGCGTCGGTGGTACCGTGGACCCTCAGTGCCCTCGGACGGCCCCGCGGAGTGGGCGCTGTCACCTGTGCGTGCACCGAGGGTCGAGGTCAGCTGCGGAGACGCCACACTGAGTGCTGACGCCGTGAAGGACATCCTAGGCAGGCACGGAAGGAGGCCTGCGTGTGCGAGCTGACCTGCAGCTCGGCCGACCACGACCTGCGCCTCGTGCTGCTCACGACTGTCGCCATCTGCACGGGCCAGTCCTGCATTCTGTGATCTATTGTGGCTGGCGGTCGGCGTGTGTGAGGCGTCATGGCGTTGGTCGTAGCTCGACGGGAGCGTCTCGGGGACACTGGAAGGCCTCTTTCGGTGCGGGAGTTGTCGAGTAGCCTTATCCCTGGGAGGCTCGTCGCCATCAGATATTCTGGCGAGGACCTCTGGCACGAGAGGGTGGTGATGGGCCCTGGGTTGCGAGATGCTGCTGGGGACATTACCAAGTGGTGGATCGTGACCCCCGACGGGGACTTCTGTGAGGAGGACATTTCCATGGAGGCGGGTGAGGGCGAGAGGCTTGTGCTGCTCGACCTCGCTGGCTCCTGCCCCCGAGCGCTTCGCGGCAGGTTCTACAGGTTCGCGGGCGACGCCAACCCCAGCGACGACCGTGTCCGCCGCGAGGCCCAGCAGGCTGTGGCGCGGATGCGGCCGGCGGGTCAGGAGCCTCCCGAGCTGCTGCACGTGGTGAGCGCGGACGGCGCCCTGGAGCCCTCAGGCGGTGCGGGCCGCCGTCGCCGACGAGGGGGTGCAGCTGGAGGCGACGTTGGGGCTCTCGGGGCGCCCGCGGCGGTCGGAGGCACCGCCACCCCTGTGCCGCCGTTGCCTGCCGACCTGGCGGGCGCCGAGGCCGGCGGCGACGGCGACGCGCAGGGGTCGGTGGCGCCGTACCTCGCTGTGCTGCCCGAGCGTCCTGCCCTTCGCGTGGGCTGGCCTGGCTGGTGACCGACGGCGCCGACGGCCACGAGACGCTGGGCATGGAGGTGACTCCGCGCGCGGGTGACGTCATCGTGACCACGGCGGACGGCCTGGTCTTCAGGCACGGCGGGTTCCTGCGGGTGCAGGCGGTCGCGAGTCACGAGTGCGTGGATGTCGTCAGGAGCCCGAGGCTTCGCCACGGCGGCATGCGAGGCGCGGTTGGGGCGACGGCTGTGGCAGCCCGTCGGTCCGATGAGGCCCCTCCCTCGGACGACGACGTCCGCGCCCTGTGGGTTGACTACGACGAGGTGGGGGCGAGGTTCAAGAGTTGGACGAAGGCAGTGCAGGAGAGCAGGGAGAGGCCGATCTCAGCCGTGGAAGTCCAAGGGCCGCCTGGCACGTTGCATCTCGCTCGGCATGTCGAGCGGAATGGAGGCGACCCGCGGCGTTGGTGGCAGGAGTTTGCCCGCGGCAACAGCATCTCCAATACGGATCGCGTCTACCACGAGATGACTACGTTGACGGAGAGTTTCAAGCTGTTCGGGGAGTATGACCGGCTCAACCTGGGGGCATCGGCTGGCGTCGAGGAGATGGTCAGGAGGGTGCTCGGGGTGATTGACGCCTACTCGGCGGGTGGCGGGGTGTCATCCTGGTGCATGGCCGCCGTCTATGAGGGCGAGGCGAGCTACGGGGACGCGCTCGCTCCCGCGCCGAGGAAGTGGGGAGTCAACGAGCTGAAGGACCAGGCGGAGATCTAGAGCACGCGGGCGCGCCAGCTGCGGCCTGTAACAGAGGGCGCTGACGCTGGGGGCGGCCAGGGCGCTGCCGACGGCGGCCGTGGTCGCGGAGGCGGCGCTGATGCAGGGCAGGGCGGGCGGGGCGGCGGAGGCTCCGCAGCCCCGAAGGATGGTTGATCAGGATGACGGGCTGTGGACAGGCCCGCCGCGCCACAGCCCGCTAAAGGTGGGGGATTTTCGGGCGCCTGGTCGCCCTCGCTTCTTCGAGCAGTTCCCGCTGGCCCATCCCTGGCGCGAGGCTGCTCCTGCTGCTGGCGGTCGCCGTCGCGGGCGATATCGAGCGGACATCATGGCCCTGGAGGCTCGCGGCATGCTGCGCGGGCTGGAGAGGGTGAGTCGCACCAGGTTCGGTGGTGACGTTCGCCAGCTTCTCTTTGCAGACAATTTGAGCCTCTCTTGTTGGCCGCAGGACGGTGGCGGCGTCGTAACTTCAACATGCTAGTCGTTTTGCGTAGGATGGCCGCCTGGTGTCTCAGTCTCAACGTGCATCTTTTTGTTCTGTGGATTCCCTCCTAAAGGAGTCCTGCCGATGCTCCCTCTCGGACGTTTGATTTGCATTCAGACTCGGCCGCGCCAAAGGAGGGCGATGTTGGCCGCCCCCGCCCCCGTTGCACCCTTTCCCGTGGTGATGTCCGGACCCTTGGAGAAGCGGGGGGGCCCTGTGGTCCGAAAAGGTCACGTGGCGACTTTCGGCCGAGTTGTGTTTCCTTTTTTTTTTTTTTTTTGTTGTTTCTATTTTTCATCTACGTCAAAGCTCCAGGTGAGAATGTTGGGTCCGCCTCTGATGCAAGATGTCAGAATTCGGAGTCTGGTATGTGTATAGGAGCTCCTGAGTACAGCGCGTCACAAGCTGCCCCCCCTGCTCGAGCCCCCAAGGGGCAACGAGCCTGTGGTCCCTGCGGGGCAGCGCCCCGTCTCTGTGGGCATGTTGCCTCGCACCAGTGCCCATGCCGCCGAACCTCTCTACATTCAACGACAGAGTTCGGTTCCTGGCCTCGTCGCGGCCCGAGCATCGGCCAGCTGCAGTGCCCTGCGGATAGCGCCGCCTGGAGTCTTCGCAGTTGCCGCCCGCCTCGCTGCAGCACACTTCCCGAGCCCTCAAGGCGGAGGGCGAGCTCGGGGTCGCCTCGTTGGCCCGCAGCGCCCGTCAGCCAGGCCTCTCGAAGGGCGCGGTGAGGCTGGTCCCCCAGCAGCTCAGGGGGCGGATCAGGGCGGGCCCGCGTGTCGAGGGCGCCTCGAGTTCTGGCAGCGAGGAGGAGGTGGCGGCTCTTGCTGTGCGACAGCTGGCGCTCCCTCGGGCCAATCGGGGTGCGCTGGAGAGGCTGTTGGCGGCCGAGGCTCTGCCCGAGCTTTCCCGCTTGGCGCCGGGGGGGGGGCGCGCTGCGGTCAGACCTCGGACCGAGGCCCAGTGCGCGCGAGAGGTTCACCAGTTCAGCCACTACAGCGGCGTGGCCCGCGCGGCGGACATCCCGATCGAAGATATGGACGGCTTGTTGGAACAGTGCATCGACTGCCAGGTCACGAGGGGCGTGGCGGCCGCGCGGGGCATGGAGCTCCGGGCGGGGGTGTTGCACGCTCGACCGAAGGCGGGGAAGCAGGGCCCGTGCGCACTGCAGCGCAGCTGGAGGACCTTGAAGAGTTGGGAGAACCTGGGCCCCATCCACGTCCCGTTTGTCCGAGGCGCAGCTGATCTGGTGCGCCGTCGTGAACGGGCTGTGCAGTTTGCGGCGATGCGATGTGGCCCCGTTCATCTGCCTCATGTGGAGCACGTATGCCCGCCCTCCCTATCCAGCTGATGGCGATGAAGCCCGAGTGTCTGTATCCCCCCAGCCGAGCCTCCACTCACTGGACATTGCAGTTGAACCCCGAGGCCGAGCGAGTGCCCTCCAAAGCGAAGGAGTTCGATGCGACGATCGAGCTCGACCACGCCTGGTGGGCCAGCCTGACCCCCATGCGCCAGGCCCTTCGTGCGCGGCCGCCTGGCGAGCGGGTCTGGGTGTTCAGCTGCCCTCAGCTGGCGGCGGCCGTGCAGCGAGCTGCGCGCGACCTGGGCTTCAACCTGGTGGTGTGCCAGGCCAGGCACAGCGGCGCGAGCGCAGACGTGGCCTCGCGGCGCCGGGCGCTCGCGGAGGCCGAGAAGAGGGACGGTCTGGAAGTCAGACCGATCTGTAGTGGGGTACGAGAAGGGAGCGAGGCTCAGCTCTCGACCTGGACGGCGCGGCCGTCCTGGCTGCGGCAGTGCGCAGAGCTGTGCGAGGAGAGATCTGTGGCGATTATGGTGCGCGGCCAAGCGCTGCCAGAGCCCGCTTTGCATTTCCAATCGTCGAGCGGCGGATGTTTGTCCTGGTCGTCGGTGAGCTGTTCGCCTCTGGTTTCTTGGTCAGGTGTGTGGAAGACCCCAATGTATCATATTGTTTGTGTTTCAGGCTGAGATCGGACATGAAGCAAAGCAATATTGGTGCCCTTATCGTGTCTATGGGGTCTCCGACCCTGTCCAGAGGCTTTGC